GGTAGACATGAGGCCTCAGGTGTGTAGGGGTTGACATGAGGCCTCAGGTGTGGAGATAGGCATGGGGCCCTCAGGTGTGGGGGAATACATAGGGCCTCAGGTGTAGGGGTAGACATGGGGGCCTCAGCTGTGGGAGGTAGACATGGGGGCCTCAGGTGTGGGGTAGACATGGGGCCTCAGGTGTGGGAGGTAGACATGGGGCCTCAGGTGTAGGGGTAGACATGAGGCCTCAGGTGTGGGGGTAGACATGGGGGCCTCAGGTGTGGGGGATAGACAGGATAGACATGGGGCCTCAGGTGTGTGGGGGTAGACATGGGGCCTCAGGTGTGGGAGGTAGACATGGGACCTCAGGTGTAGGGGTAGACATCGGGGCCTCAGGTGTGGGAGGTAGACATGGGGGCCTCAGGTGTGGGGGTAGACATGGGGGCCTCAGGTGTGGGGGTAGACATGGGGGCCTCAGGTGTGGGGGTAGACATGGGGGCCTCAGGTGTGGGGGTAGACATGGGGGCCTCAGGTGTGGGAGGTAGACATGGGGCCTCAGGTGTGTGGAACATGTAAATCAGGGAGGCAGATGTGTCACGCCTTCAGCTGGTAATTCCACAGAGGAAAATCTGCTTCAGATGTATCTCAGGAGCCCCAGGAGCGCCCGGGGACAGGCAGCGGAGGCTTTACGAACTAAACACATTAACATAATATTAATATATTTATACTTCTCTTTAAACAATAACAACAATAATAATAACATCAATACATGTAATGTATAATAAATCAAAATCGTAAATATATTATTCACTATTGAATGCCAAGTCAATCACAATCCTCAAAGGCTCGTGTATACAAGTCTTAAACCATTCATGTAGTTAAACCATTTACCGGAGTTAAACCCTGATTTACCGAGGATCAAAACCTGTAGTGGGATATTCTAGCGTCGTTCAGGACAAAAATAAACCGAGTGAACCTTGACAGGATGAGCAATGGCTTAACCTCATTTAACTCCACGTCCAACACGGCCGGACGTGAATGTGGAAAATACGATTAATACTAGACACAAGCCGGGTAACGATCGTTTATATTAAGACCGCGTTTATCACGAGCCAATTCGTCCGTCGTTCCTAACTTCAAAGACAGTGTAACTATCGACTATTCGATCCTGCTCGACCGACCATAAGCTGGGGAGAAACACCCGCCCCCCCCCCCCCACCACAGTCATGTAATTCGACCTACGTCGAGTGATTTGTCATAATTACTGAGAAATCGACCCGTTCGACCGTACCAGAACTGCCAGTTTTCCGCGTGAGTCATTAATGAGACCAGGAAGCACTGTCCAGCCCCCCCCCCACACCCTCACAAAGGTCAAAGGTCAGCCTTTCTAAACTCCCCCCCCCCCCCCCGCACCCTCCCTCCCCCACCACCACCACCCTTCCTCCTCCAAGACGTGACTAATCAATCCACAATCTTCCATTTTCTCAACTCGCGTCACACAACAGTTTTAAAATCAAGATTATGTTTGACATACATAGGAAAAGGTTTTCGGGTCGGAAGGTGAGTTTGGATTTGAGGTTGAAAATAAAACGGGGGGGGGGGGGGTCTGCGTGCTTGATTGTTATTGATTCTTGGTGATTGTTGTTGGTGATTGTTGTTGGTGATTGTTGTTGGTGTTTGGTTGTTGTTGTTCTTTTGAGGTGGTGGTGATTGTGCTTGTGGTGGTGGTTGGAATTGGCGGTCGTTGTTTGATGTGGTGGTTGTGGTAGTGGTAGTGGTCGTGGTGGTGGTGGTTGTGGTGGTGGTGGTGGTTGTGGTGGTGGTTGTGGTTGTGGTAGTGGTCGTGGTGGTTGTGGTGGTGGTAGTGGTCGTGGTGGTGGTGGTTGTGGTGGTGGTAGAGGTTGTAGTGGTGGTTGTGGTGGTGGTGGTCGTCCGGTGGTGGTGGTCGTCCGGTGGTGGTGGTCGTCCGGTGGTGGTGGTCGTCCGGTGGTGGTTGTTGTGGTGGTTATGGTGGTGGAGTGACGCAGGGGCTCAAGATATCCTCCTGGAAATTAAACGACAGATACGAAGCTATAAATATTTTAAGGTGTAAATATTCACAGCGGGGGACAGGCATAGGGGGCAGGGGGGGGGGAGGCAGGGGGAGGGAGGAAGGGGGAGAGGGAGGAGAGGGGGGAGAGAGAGGGAGAGAGAGAGAGAGAGAGAGAGAGAGAGAGAGAGAGAGAGAGAGAGAGAGAGAGAGAGAGAGAGAGAGAGAGAGAGAGAGAGCGGAGAGGAGAGAGAGAGAGGGAGAGAGAGAGAGAGAGAGAGAGACAGAGAGAGAGAGAGAGAGAGAGAGAGAGAGAGAGAGAGAGAGAGAGAGAGAGAGAGAGAGAGAGAGAGAGAGAGAGAGAGAGAGAGAGAGAGAGAGAGAGGGAGGAGAGAGAGAGAGAGAGAGGGGGGGGGGGGAGGACGACAACACAAAGGAGCACAAAGGTGACCCCATAACAACAGACCATTGGTTCCAAACGAGGCTGTTTGGCAATACAAGTCTAATGAGGCTGGTGTCGACGGAGGCACAGGAGGAGCACCAGACCACTCTCCCTCGTCACACGTAAGACATAATTACTCTCTTACCTCTTAACTTAAGCTTAACACACTACGGCAAGAACACAAAATTATTTCGCTTTAATGAAAATAATTCAGAAACCAAATACCTTTAAAATCACGTTTTTTGACGTAATGATTGGTCAACATGAAAGTACTTTTCTTAAACAAGACTTTTGATTACTGCATTTAAGTCACCCCATCAATGTCATACAAGAGTTAACAAATTCAGACTTTTTAATACCACAAAATTTGGGTTCAAAAAGACTCCATCACCCACCACCTCCGTGTTCTCAACGTCTGCTCTCAAATACAATACAGCTCGAGCTCCGTGAATTTATTTTCCAATGTAGGATATACTCAAGAGCTGAAAATTACACGATTTACCGATATATAACATTATAGTATATCCAAGAAGCTGGAAGCTGAAATATGTATTATTTCACTATCTTCACTTGGATCAATGGCGAATCGAACTCTGGCCTGAAAAAAACAAGACTGATGTCCTACCAACTATGCTCATAGATTCTCACAATAAAGATAATTGATTTGAAGTTTAACTAACTGGAAGATCATTCGTAGCTACAACTTTATTTACTCTTTTCAAAAACTCTTCCCAAAATATTTACAAATTACCATTCTTGGGGAAGTGTCCTGACTCCGTGAGACATAACAAATGGGGTTAAAGTCTTTGCTAATTAAGTATTTGCTCCCTGAAATACACTCTTGGGCACAGTTTGGGCGGATCACAAGAGCCTAACATATTGTTCATTAGTTCTGGCCCTTCCGTTAAATTATCCCATGTTCATCATTGTTAAAAATAAAACGAAAAATAACAAGTTTGAGTCACCGTCTTTACCTCTAAGAATATGATTTGATTTCTTCAAAGGTAAATGATATGTGAAAAATTATTTCATTTTCCATATCTACTTAAATCGTGAATTAAGTCGCCATTTACCACAAGTACTGGATCAGTAGCTAGAGATACAAGTATCTCGCTTCCTATTATCTTCAGAGGTTATCTTGAGATGACTTCGGGGCTTAACGTCCCTGCGGCCCAGTCCTCGACTAGACCACCATTTTTTTTTGTTACACACCCCCAGGAAGTAGCCCGTAGCAGCTGTCTAACTCCCAGGTACATATTTACTGCTAGGTAACAGGAACATCAGGGTGAAAGAAACTCTGCCCATATGTTTTCGCCTCCACCGGGGATCAAACCCGGAACCTCAGGACTACGAATCCGAAGCGCTGTCCACTCAGTTGAGTGGGCCCCCCGAGACAGCAGGAGGGTGTTACAAAAGAGCGTCATGGTACTAAAGTATGGTGAGCCAGTATGGTGAGCCAGTATGGTGAGCCAGTATGGTGAGTCAGTATGGTGGTCATGGTATACATCATGCAGGGATGGTGCCAGCACGGTCATGGTAAGCCAGTAACCAACTCGTAGCTTCACCTTGACAACGCTTCCCGTTTTCTGAGAACATTCTGAACTACTACTATGATTAAGGGAAATATCTACAGAAATGTTGAAAAACGGTGGGACGCCCCCGCCGTCTCTGTCTCTCTCTCTCTGTCTTTCTGTCTCTGTCTCTGTCTGTCTCTCTCTCTCTCTCCCGACCTGGCGTCCTCACAAACGTAGGCGCCCAAGTCACGTCACAAGACAATATATTTCAATGGCAAAAAAATCACAAAGGAATTGTAGTCGGTTCAAAGAACCCCTGAATTTACAAGAAGTTATGTGTAATTTGCCCCTCTCAAAATTCTACATGCGTCTGTCTGTGTGTCTCTGACGCCCCCCCCTGCCTCTCTCCCCCCTCCCCCCCCACACACACGGCAGTCTCTCACTCTGTCTGTCATTGTACATTTTTTTTTAAATAAAATGTAGTTTCTTTGTATGCCTCTCAAAGACCTATAAGATTTATATAAGCATTCAGGGCATGTGGCGGTCACCTGGAACACAGTAAGTCTCGGCTCCTGAAGTGTGTCTTAAGGACGGGCTGTATTTAAGTAGAGTATTGACGGAGCAAAGTAGCAGCCCTGACTTTCCTGGCTATGGATATTCAGTTAGTATGTGGCGCATCTCTTCAAGTTAATATATTCCTTACGACAGTACACGGTATTCCACACTGACGACCCCCTCATACTCACATTACTCCACACTGACGACCCCCTCATACTCACATTACTCCACACTGACGACCCCCTCATACTCACATTACTCCACACTGACGACCCCCTCATACTCACATTACTCCACACTGACGACCCCCTCATACTCACATTACTCCACACTGACGACACCCTCATACTCACATTACTCCACACTGACGACCCCCTCATACTCACATTACTCCACACTGACGACCCCCTCATACTCACATTACTCCACACTGACGTCCCATGTGGTCCTCATATCCCTCACACTGACCCCTTACCGTCACATCGTCTTCAAATACTCTAAAGTTTGCCCTGTAAAGTGTAACGCCTCGCATCATTTTCTGTGGAAAGTCAGATAAGCACCAACTGAGAAATTCACAGGTTGTACACAAATTGTAGATTATTTCAAGTGATGTCACCATCACACGTCATCCAGACACCATCAGGATGTGGTGGTGTCAGGATGTGGTGGTGTCTGGATGTGATGGTGTCAGGATGTGGTGGTGTCTGGATGTGGTGGTGTCAGGATGTGGTGTCTGGATGTGTTTACTAGTTGTGTTTTTACGGGGGTTGAGCTTTGCTCTTTCGGCCCGCCTCTCAACTGTCAATCAACTGTTTACTAACTACTTTTTTTTTTTTTTTTTTTTTTTTTTTTTTTTTTTTTTTTTTTTTTTTTTTTTTTTTTTTTTTTTTTTCCACACCACACACACACACACACCCCAGGAAACAGCCCGTGACAGCTGACTAACTCCCAGGTACCTATTTACTGCTAGGTAACAGGGGCACTTAGGGTGAAAGAAACTTTGCCCATTTGTTTCTGCCTCGTGCGGGAATCGAACCCGCGCCACAGAATTACGAGTCCTGCGCGCTATCCACCAGGCTACGAGGCCCCTAGAGATACAAGTAGGTGTCAGGATGTGGTGGTGTCTGGATGTGGTGGTGTCAGGATGTGGTGTCTGGATGTGGTGGTGTCAGGATGGGGTGTCAGGATGTGGTGGTGTCAGGATGTGGTGGTGTCTGGATGTGATGGTGTCAGGATGTGGTGGTGTCTGGATGTGGTGTCTGGATGTGGTGGTGTCAGGATGTGGTGTCAGGATGTGGTGGTGTCAGGATGTGGTGGTGTCTGGATGTGGTGGTGTCAGGATGTGATGGTGTCAGGATGTGGTGGTGTCAGGATGTGGATGTGGTGGTGTCAGGATGTGGTGGTGTCAGGATGTGGTGGTGTCAGGATGTGGTGGTGTCTGGATGTGGTGGTGTCAGGATGTGGTGGTGTCAGGATGTGGTTGTGTGTCTGGATGTGGTGGTGTCAGGGTGGTGTCAGGATGTGGTGGTGTCAGGATGTGGTGTCTGGATGTGGTGGTGTCAGGATGTGGTGGTGTCAGGATGTGGTGGTGTCAGGATGTGGTGGTGTCTGGATGTGGTGGTGTCAGGATGTGGTGGTGTCAGGATGTGGTTGTGTCTGGATGTGGTTGTGTCTGAATGTGGTGGTGTCAGGATGTGGTTGTGTCTCGATGAGGTGGTGTCTGGATGTGGTTGTGTCTGGATGTGGTGGTGTCAGGATGTGGTGGTGTCAGGATGTGGTTGTGTCTGGATGTGGTGGTGTCTGGATGTGGTTGTGTCTGGATGTGGTGGTGTCAGGATGTGGTGGTGTCAGGATGTGGTGGTGTCAGGATGTGGTGGTGTCAGGATGTGGTGGTGTCTGGATGTGGTGGTGTCAGGATGTGGTGGTGTCAGGATGTGGTGGTGTCAGGAGGATGTGGTGGTGTCTGGATGTGGTGGTGTCAGGATGTGGTGGTGTCAGGATGTGGTTGTGTCTGGATGTGGTGGTGTCAGGATGTGGTTGTGTCTGGATGTGGTGGTGTCAGGATGTGGTGGTGTGGATGTGGTTGTGTCTGGATGTGGTGGTGTCAGGATGTGGTGGTGTCAGGATGTGGTGGTGTCTGGATGTGGTGGTGTCTGGATGTGGTGGTGTCTGGATGTGGTGGTGTCAGGATGTGGTGTGTCTGGATGTGGTGGTGTCAGGATGTGGTGGTGTCTGGATGTGGTGGTGTCAGGATGTGGTGGTGTCAGGAGGATGTGGTGGTGTCTGGATGTGGTGGTGTCAGGATGTGGTGGTGTCTGGATGTGGTGGTGTCAGGATGTGGTGGTGTCTGGATGTGGTGGGGTCAGGATGTGGTGGTGTCTGGATGTGGTGGTGTCAGGATGTGGTGGTGTCAGGATGTGGTGGTGTCAGGATGTGGTGGTGTCAGGGTGGTGTCTGGATGTGGTGGTGTCAGGATGTGGTTGTGTCTGGATGTGGTGGTGTCAGGATGTGGTGTTGTCTGGATGTGGTGGTGTCAGGATGTGGTGGTGTCAGGATGTGGTGGTGTCAGGATGTGGTGGTGTCTGGATGTGGTGGTGTCAGGATGTGGTGGTGTCAGGATGTGGTGGTGTCAAGATGTGGTGGTGTCAGGATGTGGTGGTGTCTGGATGTGGTGGTGTCTGGATGTGGTGGTGTCAGGATGTGGTGGTGTCTGGATGTGGTGGTGTCAGGATGTGGTGGTGTCAGGATGTGGTGGTGTCAGGATGTGGTGGTGTCAGGATGTGGTGGTGTCAGGATGTGGATGTGGTGGTGTCAGGATGTGGTGGTGTCTGGATGTGGTGTCAGGATGTGGTGGTGTCAGGATGTGGTGGTGTCAGGATGTGGTGGTGTCAGGATGTGGTGGTGTCAGGATGTGGTGGTGTCAGGATGTGGTGGTGTCAGGATGTGGTGGTGTCTGGATGTGGTGGTGTCTGGATGTGGTGGTGTCAGGATGTGGTGGTGTCAGGATGTGGTGGTGTCAGGATGTGGTGGTGTCTGGATGTGGTGGTGTCTGGATGTGGTGGTGTCAGGATGTGGTGGTGTCAGGATGTGGTGGTGTCAGGATGTGGTGGTGTCAGGATGTGGTGGTGTCTGGATGTGGTTGTGTCTGGATGTGGTGGTGTCTGGATGTGGTGGTGTCAGGATGTGGTGGTGTCAGGATGTGGTGGTGTCAGGATGTGGTGGTGTCTGGATGTGGTTGTGTCTGGATGTGGTGGTGTCAGGATGTGGTGGTGTCTGGATGTGGTGGTGTCAGGATGTGGTGGTGTCAGGATGTGGTGGTGTCAGGATGTGGTGGTGTCAGGATGTGGTGGTGTCAGGATGTGGTGGTGTCAGGATGTGGTGGTGTCAGGATGTGGTGGTGTCAGGATGTGGTGGTGTCTGTGGTGTCTGGATGTGGTGGTGTCTGGATGTGGTGGTGTCAGGATGTGGTGGTGTCAGGATGTGGTGGTGTCAGGATGTGGTGTGTCAGGATGTGGTGGTGTCAGGATGTGGTGGTGTCTGGATGTGGTGGTGTCTGGATGTGGTGGTGTCTGGATGTGGTGGTGTCTGGATGTGGTGGTGTCAGGATGTGGTGGTGTCTGGATGTGGTGGTGTCTGGATGTGGTGGTGTCTGGATGTGGTGGTGTCAGGATGTGGTGGTGTCTGGATGTGGTGGTGTCTGGATGTGGTGGTGTCAGGATGTGGTGGTGTCAGGATGTGGTGGTGTCAGGACGTGGAGGCGTCTGGACGTGGCGGCGTCTGGACGTTGCGGCGTCTAGACGTGGCGGCGTCTGGACGTGGTGGCGTCTGGACGTGGTGGCGTCTGGACGTGGTGGCGTCTGGACGTGGTGGCGTCTGGACGTGGAGGCGTCTGGACGTGGAGGCGTCTGGACGTGGTGGCGTCTGGACGTGGCGGCGTCTGGACGTGGAGGCGTCTGGACGTGGAGGCGTCTGGACGGGGAGGCGTCTGGACGTGGTGGCGTCTGGACGTGGTGGCGTCTGGACGTGGTGGCGTCTGGACGTGGTGGCGTCTGGACGTGGAGGCGTCTGGACGTGGAGGCGTCTGGACGAGGCGGCGTCTGGACGTGGAGGCGTCTGGACGTGGTGGCGTCTGGACGTGGTGGCGTCAGGACGTGGAGGCGTCTGGACGTGGAGGCGTCTGGACGTGGAGGCGTCTGGACGTGGCGGCGTCTGGACGTGGAGGCGTCTGGTCGTGGTGGCGTCTGAACGTGGTGGCGTCTGGACGTGGTGGCGTCTGGACGTGGTGGCGTCTGGACGTGGAGGCGTCTGGACGTGGTGGCGTCTGGACGTGGTGGCGTCTGGTGGTGGTGGCGTCTGGTCGTGGTGGCGTCTGGACGTGGCGGCGTCTGGACGTGGTGGCGTCTGATCGTGGTGGCGTCTGGTCGTGGTGGCGTCTGGACGTTGTAGCGTCTGGTCGTGGTGGCGTCTGGACGTGGAGGCGTCTGGTCGTGGAGGCGTCTGGACGTGGTGGCGTCTGGACGTGGTGGCGTCTGGTCGTGGTGGCGTCTGGTCGTGGTGGCGTCTGGACGTGGCGGCGTCTGGACGTGGTCGCGACTGGTCGTGGAGGCGTCTGGTCGTGGAGGCGTCTGGACGTGGTGGCGTCTGGACGTGGTGGCGTCTGGTCGTGGTGGCGTCTGGTCGTGGTGGCGTCTGGACGTGGCGGCGTCTGGACGTGGTGGCGTCTTGTCGTGGTGGCGTCTGGACGTTGTGGCGTCTGGACGTTGTGGCGTCTGGTCGTGGTGGCGTCTGGTCGTGGAGGCGTCTGGACGTGGAGGCGTCTGGTCGTGGAGGCGTCTGGTCGTGGTGGCGTCTGGACGTGGCGGCGTCTGGACGTGGTGGCGTCTGGACGTGGTGGCGTTTGGACGTGGCGGCGTCTGGACGTGGAGGCGTTTGGACGTGGCGGCGTTTGAACGTGGTGACGTCTGGACGTGGTGGCGTCTGGACGTGGTGGCGTCTGGACGTGGTGGCGTCTGGACGTGGTGGCGTCTGGACGTGGAGGCGTCTGGACGTGGCGGCGTCTGGACGTGGTGGCGTCTGGACGTGGTGGCGTCTGGACGTGGAGGCGTCTGGTCGTGGAGGCGTCTGGACGTGGTGGCGTCTGTACGTGGAGGCGTCTGGTCGTGGAGGCGTCTGGTCGTGGAGGCGTCTAGACGTGGAGGCGTCTAGACGTGGCGGCGTCTGGACGTGGTGGCATCTGGACGTGGCGGCGTCTGGACGTGGTAGCGACTGGTCGTGGACGCGTCTGGTCGCCTGCCACAACCTAACACCAGCGGAAGACAATTCCATTCATTATAAACTCTCCATCTTAATATTTTTGAACAACTTAGTACCCCATAGAGGCCGAAGGTATCGGATTATGTCGATGACTGTGGCGGGTGATGGTGATGATTGTGGCTCGTGATGGTGATGATTGTGGCGGGTGGTGATGATTGTGGCGGTGGTGGATGATTGTGAGTGTGAGGCGCCGCCTCCAGGGGACACCTGGCACCTAGGGAC